CACTTCTGGCATATAGAGCCAGCGTCCTACCCTTTTGAGCCATAGGCACTCCCTCCCCCTCCCCACCCCCGACTATTTTTTGGTTGCAGTTGTCATGGCTGTTTGACGGGCCAGGGCTGGATTTGAACCTGCCAGCTCCTGTGTATGTGACTGGTGCCTTATCCACTGAGCTACAGGTGCTGAGCCCATGGCTTCTGTTTTCTTTTTTTCTTTTCAATGATGTAACTTAAAGTTGTCAGTTGAGAAAGGGATGGAGAATGTTGGTTTCTTACAGGAATGAGAAAATATGTGAAACAGTTGTTTGTCATAGAGAATAGTTGGTGGTATTGACTTTGAGATTGGTAATTATTATTTGTAGTGTCAATAATCTTTTGCTGTGAGATTTTCTAGAGGAGCCCTCAGCTGCATATCTGTAGGCATAAAGAAGTCAGGTTGTCAGGTTCATTGAGGTCTGGGTTTTTCCCAGGTGAGTGTGACAGAATAGTGACTGTGGAGCGAGGAGGTTAAGGGTATATTTATAGAAGCCTTATGATAAGCTGTGTGGACTCTGACATTGGATAAGAAGGAAAGTGAAGCCTAAAAGAACTGATAGAAATAGGACTAGACTTCAGAGACAATAGTACGGAGAGAAGCTCTGATGGGCTGAATCATCTTACATATCATGTCACTTATTTTTTTATGTTCATTGTTTGGGGTTTATTATTCTCCAGTAGAATGTAAAAAGTATAGGGAGGTTTTTATGTTTGTTTTTCTTTTCCCTAATGTATTCCATGCATCTAAAACAATGCCTGGTATACATTAGGCAACCATTAAATATCTATTAAATAAACTAAATGAAGTAAAATAATCCAGGTGACATGATGGTGGAGGTGGTGGGAGATGCTCAGGTCCTGTATGTATTTTGAAGGTTGATCTGATAGGAACTGCTGGTGGATTGGAGGTGAGACATGAGAGGAGACAAGGATACCCATCCGGGTTTGGCCTGAGCCACTGAAAGAATGATGTTACTTTAAAAATAAATGGTGTTGGGCAGTGCCTGTGGCTCAAGGAGTAGGGTGCTGGCCCCATATACTGGGGGTGGTGGGTTCAAGCCCAGCCCTGGCCAAAATTGCAAAAAAAATAACAAAAAACCAAAAAATAAAATGGTATTACTCTTTGTTGAAATGTAGAAAGCTGTGAGAGGAACAAGTTTTATAGTTTGCGTATTGAAAGATCAGATTTGGATATGAGATGTGAGAGAGATCTTTATTAGACTTGAAGGAGAGACTAAGTGGGGCGTGCAGTTTGCTGAGTCTAGAGTTATGGAGGAGGCACTGTGACTCAAGATACGAATTTGTAAGTCATTATTAGCACATTGATAGTTTTTAAAGCTTGGAGACTGGATGAGACCCTAAGGGAGTTAATGCAGATCAAAAAATGGTCAGATGTGACTGGTGTAGTGGCTCATGCCTGTAATCCCAGCACTCTGGAAGGCTGAGGCCAGAGGGTTGCTTGAGCTCAGGAGTTCGAGACCAGCCAAGAGCTAGATCCTGTCTGTACTAGAAAGAGAAAACCTAACCGGGCACTGTGGCAGTTGCCTGTAGTCTCAGCTACTTGGGAGGCTGAGACAGGAGACTGCTTGAGCCCAGGAGTTAAAGGTTGCTGTGAACTAGGCTGACACCACAACCCTCTAGCCTGGGCAACAGGTGAGATTCAAAAAAAAAAATCAATTGTTTCTTAACCTTGCTGAGAGCTTAAGTAAGGTAAGAACTGAGTTGACTATTGGATTAACACTGTAGAGTTTATTTGTGACTTTGAACAATTTTGTTGAAAACAAAATTTTACAAAGTTATTTTTGTGAAATTTAGGTTAAAGCCTCTGGACAGATGTTAAGACTTCATTTAGATACTCTTCTAGGTAGATATTTTTGATTTTATTGTATTTGAAAATATAAATTAGTTAAAAATAGGTTATTTAAAAATTGATTATAGAAAGTATGCTTATACTATGATTCAGAAAAAAAGGTTAAAAAAGTCTGTCTCGCTGGAATTATGACATAATCACTGGTAGCTGTTTGAAGAATGATTTTGGATAGGACCTTTTATCTGCTTGCTAGCATATTCTAGCATGATCTTTTTTTTTTTTTAATTAAATCATAAACACATAGATCATGTATACATTAATGCATTTATGGGGTACAATGTGCTGATTTCATATAGAATTAGGAATGCTTACATCACACTGGTTAATATATACCTCATCTTGTTTACTTAATTATTGTGTTAAGACATTTATACTCTATACTTAATAGATCCAACATGTACCCTTACATTATGCACCATAGGTGTGACCTCACCATTCCTAACTTGATCTTTATCCTGACATGTAGGATAAGGTCTGTAAGATAGAGGAAATCCCAACCTTTATTAAAAACTATATAATCAGGAATTTTGAAGAACTAATTTAATTTACTTTATTACCAGTTTGCTAATATCATATCTTTAGTAGATGTAAGTCAATACATTTTAATGTAATGGTGTAGAACTTAGAGTCTTTATGGAAGTTCCATTCACTGGTACTTTGTCTTTTGCTGTTATATTTGATTGTCAATTTGTAGAATTTTTTTTGTTTGTAAAAGTTCCAAGGTAGTATCTTTCAGAAATATACTAGTTTAGGTTGAGAGAACAGTTGCATTTACAGTTCATTTTTCCATTTAAAATGTTTTAAGAAGGTGGCATTGAGAATTACCAATTATAGAATTTTAGTCTGGAAGGTTATCTTTAATGGAAATTATTACTTATTTTAATGTTGTTTAGGAAGATTCTTACCTCTGAAGACAATGTTAGGACCAAGATATGATAGTCAAGTTGCTGAAGAAAATAGGTTCCATCCCAGTATGCTCTCAAATTATCTGAAGAGTCTGAAGGTAAGAAACAAAACATTTTTGCTACTGATTTAAAACTTCATCTCTTTTTTGTTTATCAGATGGCTTTACAAAAACTTTTATTTTGGAGGTGCCCATAGCTCAGTGGGTAGGGTGCCAGCCACATGTACCCAGGCTGGCGAATTTGAACCCAGCTTGAGCCAACTAAACAACAATGACAGTTGCAACAAAAAAACAGCGGGAAGTTGTGGTGGGTGCATGTAGTCCCAGCTGCTTGGGAGGCTGAGGCAAGAGAATTGCTTAAGCCCAAGAGTTTGAGTTGCTGTGAGCTGTGATGCCATGCTACTCTACCTAGGGCAACATAATAAAAAAACAAAACAAAACAAAAAACCCCCTTTATTTTGAAATAATTAAACTTAGGAAGTTTGCAAACTTGTACAGAGTTTGACCTTCTCCCAGCTTTTCCCAGTGGTGACATTTTATGTAATTATAGTATTGTATCAAAAGCAGGAAATTAACTTTGGTACAGTACTGCGACCTTATTTAGTTTTCATATGCATTTATTTGTGTGTATGTATATGTATGTACAGATAGATCCTGTTTGTAAGTTTGTTGTGGTGGTTGCATAACTGTTCCGTCTCCACAAAGGAACTCCCTTACACTACCCTTAGAGTCCAACCCTCTCCCCGTCCCTGACCGTGTACCCCTGCAGCTGTTGACCAATTCTCTGTCTGTAGTTTTGGCATTGGCCTTATTCTTTTTTATTGTTGAATTGTATGGATATACCAAAGTTTAATTGTTCTGTTGAAGGACGTTTGGGTTGTTTCCAGTTTGGGGTATTGTATTTGTAAATTGTGGGGCTGCAGCTCTTGGTGTCTTGGAGTTAAAATTTTCATCAACTTTTTTTTTTTTTTTTTTGAGACAGAGTCTTTGCCCTTGGTAGAGTGCGGTGGCCTCATAGCTCACAGGAATCTCAAACTTCTGGGGCTCAAGTGATCCTCTTGAGTAGCTGGGACTACCCGGCACAATGCCCAGCTATTTTTAGAGATTGCCCAAGCAATCCACCCACCTCGCCCCCCCAGAGGGCAGGGATTACAAATTTTTGTCTTCTTACAAGGACCTATAATTCAGCCTTTACAGGACATAATCCAAACCATAATATCAGTCTGTGTTACTATTTTATTTATGCTCTTGGTAGTCTGTATTATATGCTGTATTAGCACATGAATGAGTGTTGATGCCCATTATATGCAAGGCTCATATCATGGGATAGAAAAGTAGCCACTTAGATTTAAAAAACCTGGTATTCACCCCTTTTCTCAGTGTAGCTTAGAGTCATTGTTTATCTTTTATTTTAGCTTGCTTATAAACTTTTAATTTTTATTATTAATAATTATACTGAAAATTAGAGCTAACATTATTATAGAGTGTTAAGTATTTCCTAGGCAATGTGCTGAGAGTGTGGGTTTAAAAGGTACTTAGCATACATATTACATTAATCTCTTCACGTTTCAGTTTTCTAATATATATATGTATATTATGTATATGTGTGTATATATATATATATATATATATGGTCTTGCTTTGTTGCTTGGGATAGAGTGTAGTGGTATCATCGTAGGTCACTGTAACCTCAAATTCCTGGGCTCAAGTGACCCTCTTGCTTTAAGACTCCAGAGTAGCTGAACTACAGGTGCCTGCTACCACACCTGGCTAATTTTTTATATTTTGTAGAGATGGAGGTTTTGCTCTTGCTCAAGCTGGTCTTGAACTCCTGGCCTCAAGTAATCTTCCCACTTTACCCTCCCAAAGTGCTGGGATTGTAGTGTAAGCCACTGCGCCTGGCTTCAAGTTCCCTCATCTTAAAAAGAAAATTAGTCCATGTAGAACAGTGCTTGGCATAGGGTAAGGGCTTCATTCTTTTTTGCAGTTTTTTTGACCAGGGCTGTGTTTGAACCCACCACCTCCTGTATATGGGGTTGGCGTCCTACTCCTTTGAGCCACAGGCGCTGCCCAGCTTCATTTAAATCTTACAAAAACTCTATGAAGTAGTTACTATTACTGTCCTTCATGGATTGGGGTGATCTGTTATGAAAAATAAATTTGTGTATGTGAATGTATGTATTTATATATGTTTATGCACATCGTCAACAGGAACACATTCACACAAACTCATCTCACACATATTAATACAGTATATATTGAGCTTGTGGAGCTCACAATACACAATACAATTTCAGTTTCCTTAGTTAAAATATTCCTATGCATTTAGAAAATCCACATTTTTCTGCTTATCATCACTTTTCATTTGCTTTTTGTTCTGGACCTGAAGATAAACAAGACTTCTAAGCTAGCTCACTGAGAAGTGGTGTTATGATACCTAAATCTTTGAGTCTGGCCTTATCTAGTCTCTGAAGAAATTAGTAAAGCCATAATGGCAGCGAGTTATGTTTTAGAACTGTACATTTTTGTCTGTTGTATGTGAAATTTAAATGTTTTTGCCATTTTCCCCCTTATAACAGTGGATTCTAATCATTCTGTAGAACAATCTTCTGTAGGCAAATCCAACAATAGGTACTCAGTAAAAGCAACAGCAAAAAGAGAAAAGTAATGATCTAAAAGGTGCTTATTGTTTATTTTGCCATTCTTTCTGGAGAGAGCACATACTTCAGAATGAGGTGGAATACATGTGAATTAACTGTCCTCGTGTTTGGGCTCAGTTCAGGTGTGCACTGTTTAGACTGTCTTACCAGACTTAAAGGGATTCTAGGTTTTAAAGTTTTTTTTATACCACATAGCCCATGAACACAAACTACCTCCTTCAGTTAATGTTCAACAGAATAAATAACATTTTAGTTTCAACCCTGGAAGAAAAACTATTGTATACTGTTCTTTGCTGGTTAATTTACAAAGGAATTTTGACTGTAGATACCTTTTTACCCGGTGTACTCATTTGAGAATTTAACTAAGATATGATTCTGCTCTTTAGTTTAGAAAATAGAGAATACATCCATTTGTTTCAAAATCCGGTGTTTAACAAGTTGGTATCATGTGATCTCCCTCTCACTTTTGCCCTCTGCCTACTTCCTCAGCATATTCTCCATAGATTCTACTCTTTCTAGAATTTTTTTCTTTTCTTTTTTCCCTTTTTTTTTTTTCCACTCTGTCGCTCTTAGTAGAGTACTGTGGTATCACAGCTCACAGCAACCTCCAACTCCTGGGCTTAAGTGATTCTCTTGCCTTAGCCTCCCAAGTATTTGGGACTATAGGCGCCCGCCACAATGCCTGGCTATTTTTTGGTTGTAGTTGTCATTGTTGTTTGGCAGGTTTGAACCTGCTTGCTCCGGTGTACGTGGCTGGCGTCCTAGCCGTTGCGCTACAGGCTTTGAGACTCTTTATAGAATTTTTAATGTATCCTTTTAGAATTTATTTAGGTGTCATTTCAGAATTTGTTTAATCAACAAAAATTAATATTATTTTCACCTCTTTAGATGCAAGTCAACACATTATATGTGCCAGTGTGAACCTTTTTATTTACGTAATATATGAAGGTTTTAAGAATATACTATTAATACACAAAGAACTTTCTTTTTTTTTTTATAGCTTCATAGTATTCCATTAATATGTGTCCAGATTGAATATCCCTAATCCACAAGTCTGAAATGCTTTCAAACCTGAATTTTTTTGAGCACCAATATGACACTCAAAGGAAGTGCTTATTGAAGCATTTCAGATTGGGAATTTTAGATGAGTGACTCTCAGCTGGTAAATTTAGTACACATGTTCAAAATCTGAAACACTTCTGCTCCCAAGCATTTCAGGTAAGGGACGCTTAACGTGTACCATAATTTATATAGTTAGGCCCCGACTCATTGACCTGGATGGTTCCTTCAGGTTTGTGTTGGCATTTCGTTGAGATTTACTGACACAGGGTCATTTTTACTAATTTTATGTGTCTTCATTACATTTTCCCCTATGCATTGCTTCTACTGCACTGTAACCTGGTTGGTCTTCTTCAGATTCCTTAGACGAGGGGTAGGTTATCACGCTAGAGACAGCTCTTCTCCTATAGGAAGTGTTTTTTTTTCCTTGGCATTTTCTTTTCTTTTCTTTTTCTTTCTTTTTCTTAAATTTGAAACAGAGTCTCACTATGTTGCCCCAGGAGAGTGCTGTCGTGTCACAGCTCACACCAACATCAAACTCTTGGGCTTACTCGATTCTCTTGCCTCAGCCTTGCAAATAGCTGGGGACTACTGGTGTCTGCCACGATGCCTGGACGTTTTTTGTTGCAGTTGTCATTGTTCAGGTGGCCCAAGCTGGGTTCGAACCTGCCACCCTCGGTGTATGTGGCTGGTGCCATAACCCCTGAGTTACGGGCACCAAGCCAATAAAGAGTTCTTTATTTTCAACCTTAACTTCTTTTGAAAAAATACAACTTTAGGCTTCAGTATATTCTCAGAAAATAGATAGAAGGGTAATAAATCAGATAGGAAGGGAGAGATATCCATATCTATATAGACTCATGTATGGCATAACAGCTTGTCTCTTCTTTTAATGAATAGTCACAAACCAATGAGGGAGGGGTTGGAGACATGTGAAAACAAACTGTCCCTGACACCCCTTCCCCCTCCCCACTGGTATGCACCTTTAAGCCTAGGATATGGTATGGTATAGTTAATAGATATGAACAGAGTGATTGCTACTGGGTATGCTGGGATGGTGTGTGCCTAGAACTTGAGTTGTATATTTCAGATAGATACTATTCCTGCTCTAGACTCCTGTCTAATAAATCATCTATACAGATGGTAGATGCAGAAAATGCAGACAGGCTGGGCTCAGTGGTTCACACCTGTAATACCAGCATTTTGGGAGGCTGAGCTGGGAAGGACCACTTGAAGCTAGTTGTTTAAGGCAAACGCCAGGCAACAAAGTGAGACCTAGTCTCTACAAAAAAAAAAAAAAAAATAGCTAGTCATGGTGGCACATGTTTGTAGTCCTAGTTACTCTGGAGGGAGGAAAGCTTGAGCCTGGTAGTTTGAGGCTGCAGTGAGCCATGATTGCACCATGGCACTTCAGCCTAGACCACTCAGCAAAACCGTATCTCTTAAAAAATAAAAAAAAGACAGGAAATTGTTTTCTTTATTGGATAGACTTTTGTGACGTTGGAAGTGGAATCTGCTTGCTTATTAGTTCCTTCATTAGTTTCACGGTTCATTTATTTCACTGAATACCTGCTAAATTCTAGTGTATTGAATTAAGACTCAGATGAATGGTACTTTAAATCTCCCTCAATGTAGATGGATGAACTGTATGGCATAATTACCGTTTTTTTTTTTTTTTTAGTTAACTTGTTTTGGAACAAATTAATTTCCCAGTAAATCTGCCCTTTTTTATTTTATATTTTTTAAGGTTAAAATGGGCTTGTTGGTGGACTTGACTAATACGTCAAGGTTTTATGACAGAAATGACATAGAAAAGGAAGGAATCAAATATATAAAACTTCAGTGTAAAGGGTAAGTTGCATATTAAAACTACTTAATATTGAAACATTCTCACTGAAGTTTGTAATCTCTTTATTTTTCAAATTTTTTTTTTTCATATCACTAGACATGGTGAGTGCCCTACAACTGAGAATACTGAAACATTTATCCGTCTGTGTGAGCGGTTTAATGAAAGAAATCCACCTGAACTTATAGGTAAGTTTGGCTTTAACTACTGTTAAATATTTTATTTTACAGTTGGTTTTCTGTTCTTTTTTTTTTTTTTTAATTATTTTTTGAGACAGAGTCTCACTGTGTTGCCCTTGGTAGAGTGCCAGGGCCATCATAGCTCATAGCAACCTCCAACTCTTGGGCTCAAGTGATTCTCTTGCCTCAGCCTCCCAAGTAGTTGGGACTATAGGTGCCTGCCACAATGCCTGGCTATTTTTTTGTTGTTGTTGCAGTTGTTTTAGTTGGCCCAGGCCGGGTTTGAACCCGCTAGCCTCCGTGTATGTGGTTAGTGTAGTTACCACTGTGCTATGGGCGCCAAGCCTTCTTCCTCTTCTTCTTCTTTTATTTTTTGTTTATTTATTTTTAACAAATAAGTTGTTACGGAATTTTTTTTCTCTTGTAAATAATCACCAAGTAATGTTTATTAAAGTTGGGACTAACTTTTATAAGTTGTTACATAATATTATGTTTTTTAGGATAAATCCCTAATTGCCCTTCTTCAAGCGTAAGTGTTGGGAAATTCTGTATTTACTTTTCATAATTTTACATATTGTACCATATGTAGTCTTTTCTCATTTGGCATTTCTGAGAGTAATTCGTGATGATGTAGTTTGTTTTTGCTGCTGTATGGTTGTCTGTCATGTGAATATACTGCAGTTTTTTCTCTTATTGATGGATGGTTCCTTCATCAACTATTTATTGATTGCTACTCTGTGTCAGGCACAGGCCATGGAAGAAAACAGACATGCCATGGAAGAAAACAGAAAAAGCCCCTGTTTTTGTGGAGCTTATATTCTGGTGTGGACTGGGGGTGGGGAGAGGGAGAGCAGATACTAAACAATAAATATAGTAAATAAATTTTCCTAAAATGACATTTACTTAAAATGACATTTGGGTTATTTTTGTTATTGTAAACAATACTGCTAGGAATTGTCTTCTAGAATTTATAAAGTTTGGTTTTAACTTTGATTCTTTGTTCTTTCTGGTATTTATGTTGGTATATGGTTTATAATGAGAATTCACTTTAAATGTTTTCTATGTAACTATTCATTTGTTTCAGCAGTTATTTGAATCATTTTCTCTTGAGGGCTAGATAACATAAATTAATTTCTTATACATATTCCTTGAAAAATTTTCTGATTCATTGTCTTTTAACTTTTTCATACATAATATGTACAATTTTTTGTTATCAAAATATATATATATTTTTTTTTTTTTGAGACAGAGCCTCAAGCTGTCCCCCTGGGTAGAGTGCTGTGGCACCACAGCTCACAGCAACCTCCAACTCCTGGGCTCAAGCAAGTCTCCTGCCTCCTCCTCGCAAGTAGTTGGGACCACAGGCACCTGCCACAATGCCCGGCTATTTTTTGGTTGCAGCTGTCATTGTTGTTTGGCGGGTCTGGGCTGGATTTGAACCTGCCACCTTAGGTGTATGTGGCTGGCGCCTTAGCCACTTGAGCCACAGGTGCCAAGCCAGTATTTTTTCTTTTAATGCCTTCATTATTTGGTTTTAGGTAGCTCTTGCTTTTCCCCATTGAGAAAATTGATAACAGTAAGAAGTTCAGGGGATATGTTCATATGCAAGAAAAAGGGAACTTCCCTGCAAATGATAACTACCGTGTTTCCCCGAAAATAAGACACTGTCTTATATTTATTTTTTCTCAAGAAGACACACTAGGGCTTATTTTCAGGGGATGTCTTATTTTTATTAAGTATAATTCAGTAATTTACATTTATTTAAATATAGTTAAGTCATCTTCTTCTGGAATCTGACAGGGGGAGCCGACCTTGTTGGTGGGGCTGGTGCTAGTGATGCGTGAACTCTTTTCCCCTAGCTGTTCTCACGTGCGCAGTAGGATACCTGTGACCTCGGTTACCACACACACACCCATGCAAGTGCCAACGGCTCGGAGAAAGGAGCTGTGGCAGATAAAAGGTATTTCAGTCTTCCTTACCACTCAGGTGTGGCTATGCAGATATGCTGCACAGCCACGCCCATCACTAGGTCTTATTATCTGGGTAGAGCATATATTTAACAAATGCATAGAAATCCTGCTAGGGTTTATTTTTTGGGTAGGTCTTATTTTCAGGGAAACACAGTAGTTAAAAAATATAATTAGAGAATGGACTCAATAATGTTAATCATGTAGGCTAACATTTATTAACTATTTCCTCTCTGCTAGTCTCTGTGTAAGTCATGTCGTATACATTGTCTCATTTTCTTATAACAATCATATTTAGTAGATTTTTTTTTTTGTCACTCCAATGAGAAATGAAGGCTTGGAAAGGTTAAGGATAACCCCTTTCTTGAGGTCATTCATACAGCTAGTAAGGGGTAGAGACTGTATTAGACCCTAATTAGTCTTGAGTTGATAGTTCATAGTCCAAACTTTCTTTCTCTTCTATAACAGAAGTACAAGAAATTGTAACCATGTAATTAAGTTACTAAGAAATGTAGGTGGTTTTTATGAAGAAAATATATTTAAATGGAAACTTGAGGAAATAGAGACACATTACTTATTTCTACACTAATTTCAAATTTTTAATGTAATTCCAAGCAAAATCCTTATGAGACTTTGGCAGAATTACTATGAAGTTAATCTGTTAAATCCACTGCCTCCACCTCCAGTATTTATTGAGCACTGAAAAAAGTTTGGCCCATCAGATAGGCGAGATTATGAGCAAGAAGCTGGCATGGTGGCTCACACTTGTAATCCCAGCACTCTGGGAGGCTGAGGCAGGTGGATTACCTGAGCTCAGGCCTTTGAGAGCAGCCTGAGCTAGAGCAAGACCTT